GTATCAGCTTAGACTGGGGGGGAGAAGTGTTTTCAGAACAAAGAGCAATGTCTGAGTAGTTCTGACACTCTGCTAATGGTATTTAATCTTTTACCTATTAGTTATTTGACTTACATCAAGCTGTCAACAGCCATCAGGCGCAACGAGAGCATGGCGAAGTCTCTGCAGAAGGCCCTGCTGCAGCAGCAGCGATCAGAAGAGGATGGCAAACGCATACCACGGCCTCAGGACTTGATCAGGCTTTATGATATCATTCTGCAGGTAATGCTGGGAAAGCAAATCTTAATTCTTCATATTAACTGGAGAACTTTGGTACAAGAAGTCATAGGAAATAGAGCAGTGAACTGCCAATGAAGTGTGAAGAGCAGCTGAGTACCTACAGTTGAAGATGTTCAACATCTACATGAAACACAAAACCCCTCTTCCACCTGTGAGCAGAACATGCTCCTAGAATGGGTGCCCTTGGTTGTACACTCTAATGTAGTTTATAACTAATTTTTCTAACTGTTTTATACAGCACCCTAGTAGCTGCCTTTAGTTTCTGCTGGCCAGAGAAAGTAGCAGCTCCAACTACTGAAAATGTACTTGTTCTTCATAAGCAGTTTTTCAGTTTCTCACATAAGTTTTCTCTGTAGGAGCCTGTGGCTGAAGCAGTTGTGAATGGGAAAGGGAAATGCCTTATGAAGGAATTACTCCATGTGAAATCAGAGGAGTCTTTGTCCTAATTCCTGTTTGTGTCAGGAAATCTGTCCTGAGGGCAAACTTGCACAAGTTTCAGTGAGTGTCCTCAATAGGTTGGAGTACTGACAGTTAAAAACTGGAAACTATTTTCATGGGAGTGTACTGTTGACTTGTTGAAAGGGGGTACTTTCTGTTACTCCAGCAGAACCTAGAGGAAAACAGTGCCTGTGTTTGTTACTCTGGCTCTCTTTTGCACAGAACCTCGTGGAACTAACACAGCTTCCTGGCCTAGAAGAGGACAAGAACTTCCAAAAAGAGATTGGGTTGAAGACACTTGTGTACAAGGCTTACAGGTGACTGAGAAACCGGTAACCTTTTTTTAGCAGGCATTAACCATCTTCAAAGGTTGTTATTCCAAAGCTGTATGGTCTGTACAGGACACTGATGCAATTTCCTCAGCCCTGTTGTGAAATGAAAACTGGATGCTAAGGGGAAACTGGCTAGTGCTACTTAATAATATCTCCTGTTACCAACTGTGTGAGTTGGCAGAAGGTGTGGGTAACAAACATATCAAGGATCACTCTTTCTTGTTGCAGGTGTTTCTTCATTGCCCAGTCCTATGTCCTGGTGAAGAAATGGAGTGAAGCTCTTGTTTTGTATGAAAGAGTGCTGAAATATGCCCGTGAAGTTCAGTCAGGAGCTGGAGCTTACACGAACAGCTTGAAGGTAAGTTCCCAGTCCTTGGGTGTAGGAGGGAGCTGAAGTTTATGAACAAGCTCTATCCTGGTATTTATTGTCAGTTAAGTGCCAGGCAATTACAGTTCAAGACTGATCTTTAGGGAGAAGAGTAATACAAGTGTGACTTCTTGACTTATTATAGTAGAGACTTTCTACGAGGTGGAGGGGCAGGCTTTCTGACACAACTCCATAACCATTTCCTACTTCTCTCATGCATTTTCTGTTACACAACTTCTGTAGTGCCTGAAGGGCTGTAGCTTTGCCTCTTGTGGGAAAGCTTATCAGCACCAGGACTTAATCTCTTAGTTCTTGCTTTATCAGGTTTTACCTTTGTCCTAACTCTTAAACTGGTATATTTCAGGTGCTCTAATAATTGTCTTTACTGATCTAGGAGCTGCCTGATGTTCAGGATCTGATCACTCAAGTCAATGCAGAAAAGTACTCCCTGCAAGCATCAGCTATATTGGGTGAGTTGCACAATTATACCGGAGCTTGAACATTTCTTCATTCCTCTTATTTAGTTTCTGAAGTTCCAAATGTTTTTCCACTTCACTCTGATCCTGGAAAATGTTTTTCACCCTCCCAATTGTAGGTTCTAGCATTGTGTAGTGCAGCTAGACAGGCCGTGACCAGACATTTGGTATCTTGCTCCCTGCCCAGAGATGTACAACACTTCTTGAGGATGTGCACCTGATTTGCTAACCTCAGAATACTTTGTTTAGTGTTTAATTTTTAGCCTACAAACAAGGCCAGGTTGGATGGGGCTTGGAGCAACCTGCTTTAGTGGAAGGTGTCCCTGCCCATGGCAAGGGGTTGGAACTGGATGAGCTTTAAGATCCCTTTCAACCCAAACCAGGCTGGGATTCTATGAAGTTGGCCTTACTCATCCCAATTCTGCCCAGCTGGGAGAACTGCTGTGAAAGGGGAGAGCAGTGATGTTCTGTTCCAATGCTGACAAGGTTAACAGAACTTTGGGGAATGGGTGAACTGTGTGATTCTTGGGCTTTGTTTCTGCTGTGCCTGCTGCTGGACAACAAGATAAGTAATGGATTGTCTTGTCTTGTCTTTTATTGCCTAGATGTTACTTTAACGGACCCCACTAGGGTCTTTTCATCATTTCCTGCTTTGTGCTTAACTCAAAATCTGTGCCTTCAGGAGCTTCTTACACAGTGTGGAGGAGCAGCTCCCCATCACTGGAGAGCTGGTCTGGCTGTAGATCCTCTTAGTGTAAAAAGCAAGTTGATTCTACTGAAAATGCTGTCTTGTGTATCCCAGAAAGCAAAGCTCATAGCTAAGCTTAGGGGACAGCTGGGACAGTCTTACTTTATGCCAAGATCTACCCTGTTATTCTTACCACTTTTTCTTCAATCTTCCAGATGCAAATGATACTCATGAGACTGAGTCTCCATCACAAGTCAAGGATGGCAAGGTAAGAGCTGAGAGCTCATGCAAATTCCAGTGGCGTCCTTAATCACAGAATCATAGAATAGTTAGGGCTGGAAAGGATCATCTAGTTCCAACCCCCCTGCCATGAGCAGGGACACCACACACTAAACTATGTCGCCCAAGGTTCTGTCCAGCCTGGCCTTGAACACCTCCAAATTAATGAACATCACTTTAACCTATTAGCTG